TCAACACACGCAACACAGTTCACTGTCAACACACAACACAGTTCACTGTTAACACACGCAACATAAGTTCACTGTCAACACACAACACAGTTCACTGTCAACACACGCAACACAGTTCACTGTCAACACACAACACAGTTCACTATCAATACACGCCACACAGTTCACTGGCAACACACGCAACACAGTTCACTGGCAACACACGCAACACAGTTCACTGGCAACATACAACACAGTTCACTGTCAACACACGCAACGTAAGTTCACTGTCAACACACACAACACTGTTCACTGTCAACACACACAACACAGTTCACTGTCAACACTCACAACACCGTTCACTGTCAACACACGCCACACAGTTCACTGTCAATACACACAACACTGTTCGCTGTCAACACACAACACCGTTCACTGTCAACACACAACACAGTTCACTGTCAACACACACAACACAGTTCACTGTCAACACACAACACAGTTCACTGTCAACACACACAACACAGTTCACTGTCAACACACACAACACCGTTCACTGTCAACACACAACACAGTTCACTGTCAACACACGCAACACAGTTCACTGTCAACACACAACACAGTTCACTGTCAACACACGCAACACAGTTCACTGTCAACACACACCACACAGTTCACTGTCAACACATACAACACAGTTCACTATGGAAACAATAAGTGTGTGCTTCACTGGCATCAAGTACGTGCACACAGTCGCCATTGTCTGCAGAGTCCTCTCATCTTCTCAAGCCAGCACGCGGCCCCTGAGGACTACCAGCCCCACCCCTGCCCACCGCCCCTGTCTTCGAACCTGCATGCTAAGCTAAGCCCAGGCCCCTGTGTAGGTGGAATCACTCAGTATTTGTCCTTTTAGAACGGCTGTCTCACTCAGCAACACGTCCTTGAGGTTCATCCGGGTTGTTCCCGGCCAGCGCTCCTCCCTGTTGAGGCTGACTCAGAACCTGTCGTGGGCAGGGACCTGCTTCCCTCCCTGCTTGTCCGTGGAAGGGCATTTGCGTTGAGTGCACCTTCCCACCATCAAGAAGGCGCTGGCCTGAGCACGGGTGCAGATGCCCCTAGAGACCCTCCCTCTGGCCTCTGGGTGACTGGCCCCTTCAGGGGGTCTCTGGCCCACGTGCTCCAAGTCAGGCTCCTCCAGGTACCCACAGCCCATGCTCGCTCTGTCGATGGCACTGCAGTGGCTGCCCTGGGCAGGTGCTACCAATGTCCCAGAGGATGTGAGACCTTCCGGCTGGTGGCCTCACACGCCTCGGGTCTCTCATCCCTGCTGGCAATGGCTCTGTAACCGGGCCCGCCCCTCATCACTGCTGTTTAATGATGCATGGACCCGCATCCTCACGTGGTCCTCATGCAGTGTCCTCCAGATCTGGCCATATGGGGCCCCGAGCTGTGGGTGGTCCCTCCTGGGCAGTGTGACAGGGGGCTCTGGACGTCCCGGGTCCCAGGGCAGCAGCGGGAGGTCTGTAGCTGAGTGGCTCACCCTCCAGCCTGGCGGCTGTGGTTACCGAAATGCCTTTAGGTCCTCCTCAAACTTCCCAGCTGGGCACCCACCGAGCGTCCACCTTCCTGTTTCCTCCTGAGGACTCAGGGGGCCCCCGACCGAGGGCAGCATGTCCTGCTGAATGTTAGGGTCGCATGGTGGGGTGTCGGGGTCTGTGTTGCTGACCACACTGGGCGTCCTTCCCCCGTAGAGGCCGTTCAGCCTCCGAGCACCTCGTCCAGATCCAACCAGCCTGAGCCCGGCCCCATGGTCCCGGTGCCCCCCCAACGCCCTCCCCCACCTGTCTGCCATCTGCCCCTCGTGCGGGCATTCAGATGGGAGGGGGTGGCGGCAGTCAGGGTGTCCCAGCAATTGTGGGGGCGGAGCCCGCGGCCTGGCATGTGTGCCCGTGGGGGGTGCCTGGTGGTGGGCAGGAGGGTCCCGGCAACCAGGCCTTGCTAGTGGAGGGGGCCACCCACAGGGTTGTGGGGGCAGCCCCTCATGTCCTGGGAGGTCCCAGTGACAGGCTACTCTCCCAGAGGTGGTTGGTGGTGGCAGGGGGTGCAGGGCCAGATGGGGACCCCACCACCCTGCACCCGGCTCGGGCTCCAGGGGTGTGGGGACCTCAGGGCTCGCTGAGAACAGCTGAGGGGAGCAGCGGGAGGCTCCCTCCCCAGAGCCCCCGACGCCCCCAGGGACCTTGGCATTGGCACTGTGACCCCTGAACCGAGCCAGGCCCATCCAGTCCACTGGGCATGGGCACCTCGCGCCCTGGCACCCCCAAAGTGAGGCCAGAGCTTCCTCCAGGACTGGCCTGGCCCTGCGCTCAGGGGGGCAAGTTGTGTTGGGGGCGAGTCCATCTGCTCTGTGACTTCGGACACAGGGAGCTGCCCGGCTGGAGCAGGGGCCTCACGGGGCTCTGGGGCCAGGAGGCTGTGTCCCAGTCGGTGAGATGTCACCCCAGTGAGGGGAGTGGGCCTGGGGGTGCAGCTGCCTTCCGCTCCTGTTTGGGGAAAGCAGTAACAAGCACAGTACCCCTTCTCCCTGGGTGAGACCCCAAAGGCGTCATCATGACTGCAGCCTCAAGACACTCAGAAGAACCATTCTCCTCAGTGGCGACAGTCAGGGCCGCTCGGGATGAGGACGGCAGGGCCAAGTGGACGCCTGTGTGGCCAGCACCCCTTGCAGTTGTGCCCAGAAGCCCTTGACCGTCTTAAGTGTGAGGCTCCCCGCCGCTGCTCAGGAGTCTGGCTTCTCTCAGAGCCAGGTCCCCGGGGGAGGGTGACCGGGCCAGGTGCCGGGCAAGGGACGTGAGGACGCAGCCCAGACCCGACACCGGCCTCATCATAGAATCAGAGCCGCGTGGGCTCGGCCGGCCAATCTCTGCACCTCCAGGTTGGAAAGAGCCTGGGAGCCCTGAAGCGATGTTAGGTCGCTTTGAACAAACAGTATCCAGGCTTCAGCGACCCCTGCGCAGCGCCCGAGACCATGGGACGTGGGCTCAGACCTGACAAGGTTGTTACGGATGGCCCCACCCTGCCCCCGGTGATGACATGGCCGCAGACACGTGGGGGCCGTGGGGAGACAGCGGGGGCCAGTGGGGCCGGCCCAGAACCGAGGTGGACTCTGTCCCTGCGTTGGTGGGCACACCTCTGGGCCCAGCTCCGCAGGCCGCATCTTGGGCTGCGTGGGTCAGGGCCCCGGGCTCTCGCGGGCCTGCCCGGGAGGACCCCTCCGGCTCTGCCGGCCGTGAGCGAGGGCTGGGTGACCAGGGCAGGGGCTCCGCTGCCCAGGGACCCAAGGCCCTGCCCCCAGCCCCCTCCTTTGCTTCCCTCACTGTCCGTCCTCGGCTCTCCCTTCAGCCTTGACTGGCCACCCGGCCGATGGGTGGATGCAGAGCTCTGAGGGGCCTGAACAGGGTTCAGATGGACAACCAATGTGGGCCCAGACTCTCCTTGGGAGCTCTGACCTCCTCAGAAGAACCACTGCGGCTCGTGGCCCCCAGCAGAGCATCCTGTGACCCGGGCCAGGGAGTGCCCGCCTGACCCCGTCACCCTGGCTCAGACCCCGCCAGGGCCACGGCAGCCGCTCGCCCGGTTAGCAGAGGGGACGGAGGGGTCTGGCAGGGACTCGGGGGTCCCTCCCCGCGCTGGCCTCCCCGAGCCGGGCGGGCCCCCAACCCTGAAGACAGCGGGGCTGGGCTGTGGAAGGGGCTGGGGTCAGCCTTTCCCTGCAGCAGCCATGGAGCCCAGGCCTGGGAACTGGCTTGAAGAGCAGGGAGGGTCTCTGGCTTTACAATCACGTGGCTGACTCGGAAAATTCTGCTTTTAGGAAAAGGGTACAAGATCTCCGTCCTCCTGGGCCCCAGGGTTCTGCCCACCCAGAGTCTCCCGGCCACCAGGAGGGTGGCGGGCCGCGGGGCTGCGGGTGGGGTCATCCCGGGAGAACCAGGAGGTGTTGCCTGCACTTTACCATGAAGGGGGCCCTGGGCCCCGTCCAGAATTGATGCCGCGTGGACAATGAGGCCCGTGCATGAAGGCGGCAAACGCGCGGAGAATCCAGCCCAGACCGCTGACTGACCCCAAGAGCCTGAAGTTGGGCCAACAGCCATGGCTGCATTCCTTAGCTTCTAGCGCCACCTGCTGGAGCCCCCCGGAATTACACCTGCTCTGCGCGGAGCAGAATTAGAATTACACCTGCTCTCTCACCCCGATCCCAGCCAAGCACGGCCCGCTGAGGGGCTCTGGGATCACAGGGAGCGACCACCGCACCGCCTCCTAAGGACGCAAACCAGTGCCACCTGCCTGTCGTGTGGGGCCCTTCCCGGCAGCTTGGGACAAGCCCCCCGCCCGGGATGGGGACACCAGGAACCGTCTGGACGGGGGGTCAGGCCAGGATTTAGCGGGAAGTCAGGAAGCACAGTGCCTGTGTGGATGGCCAGCAAAAAGGGCTTTCAGGAGAGCCTGCAGAGTGCACCCGCCCAGCAGCAGCGGGGGCAGCCTCCCCGGGACCCCAGGGTCTGCCTGTTTGGGGGCCACAGGACTGTTTGCCGAGTGAGGAGCTGGGTGTGTGAGGGGCTTCTGACTGACGGCCTTTCCTGTGGGGACCCGGAGTGAGCAGCCGGGGGTCACTCATCTTGCTTGGGATCCAGCCCTGGGCAGCAGTCACACCAAGGGTCCCAGCACATGCCACCAAGAAGTGCCCTTTGAACGAAAGGACTTGGAGGGCAGCCTAGAGGAGGAAGCGCTCTCCCACGGAAACATTGGCGAGGGGTCCACAGACCGCCCGAGCACCAGGAGCCAAAAGCAGACACGGACACGGGTGAAAGTGCGCTACAAACATCAGAAGGACGGGAACAGGTGAACTAACAGCAGAGCCTCGGGACACGCATGTAGCTGCCACGGGCATGAAGAGGCTGTGCAGGTGCCCAGGACCGGGGTGTGCCTTCGGGAGGCGCAGGGAGGGTGTGGCAGACACAGCCTGGACAGAACGAAGGCTTTATTCTGGTGAAGAGGGGTGACTCTCTGTTATGACATCAAAGAAAGAGCCTGAATGTTAGTTGGTAAGTTGTAGGACAGTAGATAAACTTTCGTTTCAGTTCCCAGAACAGCAGAGAATGATGGTGCTTTACAGTAACAGGGCTCATATTCATGGAAACTCAAGCTGCTGCTACATGGAAATTAAACTTTGAGAAACAACAGAAAGGGGACGAAAGGAAATCCAGCCCCATGAGGACAAGGAGGGAAGTCCATGGTGCCTAGGCAGGACGTCCACGGCGCCTGGCTGGGCCTCCTGGGCCCTTCTGGCCTCACACGCTCTCAGCAGCTGCGGCACTCTGGACATGACGGCCACCAGCTGAAGGTGCGGGGAGGGGCTAGGAGGAGAGCTTGGAGTAGCTGGGCGGGGACAGCTTCCGCTTCAAGTACTTCAGGACATAGAGAGGGAGGCAGCTGACCACTGTGATGACTGACACTTTCCACACGAAGGTCACAGTCGTGATAAAGGCAACGTCTGCGGGAGAGAAAGCCCAAACAGGTCTCAGGGTGCTGGGGTTGTGGCCCCCCTCCGCCTGCACCCAGGTTACCACAGAGGCGGGCCTGGCAGAACCTTGGGGTCCCTGTGAAGGCATCGTTCTGCCTGCACCTGGTGAGGGGTTCCCAACAGGAGGCACGAACCCCGTGTTCAGGGGCAGACGCACGCAATGCAGCCTGTGGTGGGTCAGACCCTCCAGGCCTGTATGGAATCAGCAGTCCGTCCCTGCGAGCCTGCCCCCATGGGTCCTGCTGTCCCAGGGGACGTGCCAGGTTGACCTCCGGGATGGCGGAAGGCTGTCCTAATGCTGCCGGGGAGAGCCGCGTCGGAACCTGGCCGGGTGGTCGCCTTCAGGACGCGCCAACCCTGCAGGCTGCGGGCAAAGCTGCCTGTAGAACCACGGACAGCATGTGGCCCGGGAAGCAGAGGCCCGGTCTGCGCAGGGCTCACGGGGCCTGGGCAGTGTGGGCATGTCATGAAAACCCGGCTCAAGCACAACAAACTGGAGGCCTGGTGCTGCGTGCGAGACGGCCCGGACGCTCGTCGGGGGCGCGTGACGCCAGCCCGTCCCCTCTGACGAGTGTAGGACCCGGGCCCTGGGCCCAGGAGGCGCCTCTGTAAGTGGATCAGGCCAGACTGTCTCCAGGGACGGGCCTGAGGCAAACGTCTCCCAGACGGGGGATGGGGCTCACCTCAGTCAGGCATCTCCAGCAACGGCGTTTCGGCTACCTGTCTACACTCAAAAGAAGTGACTTAGCTTCGCCCACTTGAGAAAGCGCTGTAAGACCCAGCCCACACCTGTTCTCTGGGAACCACAGCTCCCCCTGGGGCTCAGTCCCAGATTCAGTTTCTGCGCTGGGCGTCCCCCCCGTGCTCTGCGCCCCGCGTCCTGTCCTCTGTCCTCTGCGCCCCGCGTCCTGTCCTCTGTCCTCCGCGCCCCGCGTCCTGTCCTCCGTCCTCCATGCCCCACATCCTGTCCTCTGTCCTCTGTGCCCCGTGTCCTGTCTGCGCCCCACGTCCTGTCCTGTCTTCTGCACCCCATGTCCTGTCCTCTGCGCCCCGTGTTCTGTCCTCTGTGCCCCGCATCCTGTCCTCTGCACCCCATGTCCTGTTCTTCATGCACACATTTGGGGGAGGGGGTGGGTGTGCGGGTCCCGCCCTGAGAGCCTTAGCACTTCCAGCAGGAAGAGGACCAAGGAGACCGCGCCCATGGGGAGCCCGGCCCAGCTCTGGGCATCACTACACGGAGCTCCATCTTCCCGCAAACTGAGCTGTGTGCTGTGAAGCTGTCTGCAATCAGTATCGAAGATCACGCAGCACAATCAACAAGAAAAACATGTAAAAACCAGGAAGAGACAGTTATTCAGAAAACAATTCCATGGTAACTTACCAAAATACTCATTGAGAAAAGCGAGCGAGGCCATGTAGCAGCCAAGGCTGAGCAGCTCGGCCACGACCATGAGCCAGTGCCATGTCCTGACGGTCAGCGCCACCATCAGCAGCTCCGTGAGCACCAGCGCCGTGAAGGAGATGGCCACCACGTGCACGAACTCGGACTCGAAGAGCACCAGTGCCCCGAACATGAGGATGCCGCCTGGGAGAGAGCACAGTCTTCTGCTGTGGGCTGGCGGTTGCGTCACCGTGAGGCTGCTGGTAACACACATGACAGACCGCGCCGACAGACACGGGCCTGCACGGCCTGGGGAGGGGGGGGCCAAGTGGCGCCGCATGGACACTCTGGACGTGCATCGGCTGCACAATGTGGGGAGCCCTGCCTCCCCAGCCAGCGATCACACCCTGGTGTCCCCTACGGGGTCCAGCCATGGCCCACACTCTCCATGGGCACCTGTTTCTCTGGGATGCCACGAGGGCTCCTTCCAACTACAGGATCCCCATCTCGTCAGCTCCTGCCACCACACCAAGAAAGCAAGCCACTGTGTGGGATAGATGCTGTCATAAGGGCTGATCACATTTTTCAGAATTGTCATTTCTTTAAAACCAGGTTGGTCTTTAGTTGACCTGGACCAGTAAGAAATGCCAGCCCACGCTGTGCTGGGAAGGGGCCTGCTGGGCCAGCTGCTGGAGATCAATTCGTGAGATAAACAGAAGGTGATCTTCAACTGCAGACAAAATGTGGAGCCTGGGGAATTTAACCAGCAGGCAGAACACCACTGCTAACAGAAGGCAGGGCAGCTTCAGCGCAGGAGAGGGGTCTGCTTTACCTTGGTAAATGCTGACCAGAACCCAGACGAGGAAGGTCTTGAAGGACAAGGATCGCCCCTGGAGAGACAGGGGAGCAGCTCTATCAATGGAGCAGCACACATGTCTCCCAGCGGCCGCATGCGGGTACCTGTGAAGACGCCAGGCCCCCAGCCCACCCACGTACGAACCTGGCAGCTCCAGGGGACGGGAGCTGGCCCCGCCCTCCTCACAAGCACAGTTTACGTGGAGCATTGCAGCTGCCCCCCTCCCTGGGTCTAGCGGGCCGCACCTTGGTGAGGTCCTTGTACAGCTCCGGGTAGAGCATGGCCATCTCCGGTTTCACGTCCTGGTCCAGCACCAGTGAGAACACAGGGAACATGGTGTAGACGGTTGCATACCTGAAGGAGAGCAGGGAGGTGACCCCAAGAGCACACCCCTTTCACCAGAGGCCAAAGTCAAACCCTAAACAAAACAAAAACAAGTTGGCAACAGAGCAGAACCTGTCCTAAAGCACTGGAGCGAGGCCTACAAGCCACAATGCTCACAGGCAGTGGAATCCAAACCTTCGGTTTTAATTAAAGCTTTTTAATTAAAACTTTGAGACTGCTGCAGACGTCAGTAGAGTTATCACAGAAAACCCAGACAGACCCTGAGGAGCCGTTAGCTAGCTTCCCCCAGTGGCAGCATCTCCAGAACTGCAGCCAGTCTCAGCCTGGGAGGCCAACGGGGGCCCTGGAGCCCGCCTGTCTCCTGCTGCCCCGCCAACCCCCTGGCTGGCGACTGTTCTCCATGTCACAACCACTGTCCCCGATGGCGACAGGCTGGCGTCACACAGTGGGCACCGGGGGTCTGGCCTCTCGATCAGCTGGTCCCTGGTCCCCGGCTCTGGGCAGGGCAGTTCCACAACCCCTTCTCTGCAGTGCGCCTATGTCAGCCCATTCCTGGTTATTACTAACACAAATAAAGCGGCTACAGACTGCACAGTGTTTTTTTCCTTTGTAAAAATAAGTGTCACTTATTTCAGACAGGGCTGTCAGCTGGGTCCGAAGGTCCAGGGGTGCAGGCAGTTGTGTACTTCATTTTAGAAGTCACTGAGCTCACCACAGTGCCCAACGCCATGCCACTGCACGCCCCCCGTGAGGAGCCGGGCCTCTGATTCCTCACCAGAGTGTGCTTCAGCCAGAGGGGCGGCAGCCCTCCAACAGGTGGCAGGGGGTGGGGCGCACAGTGGTTGAAATACGTGCTTCCGAAGTGTCACCACTTCCCAGGGGTGACAACACCGACCCCCTCGCCATGGGCTGCTCTGCCGTCTCCCGACCCATAGCATCCCCACCACGCCCTCCACGCCTCTGTCTGCTGTCCAATTGGCTCCAGGCTCCACTTACAGGGTCAGCCTCTGATTCCTGCGTCAGGCTTGATGGGCACAGGCTCTCTGCTGTCCTCAAAACTTCTAAAGACCGTTGCTCGTCTCCTTAGCACTTGGGCCCAGAGGCCGAGGCGCCCAGGCTGAGCCTGGCCCACACCCTGCGGGCCGACAAGCCCAGCCCAGGCTCCGTGCCCCTGGCAACCCTCACATCCGGGCCTGAGAAGGCTCTGTTTTTCTAAAGTGTGTCCATGAAAACCCTTGTTCTTATGTCAGAAGCTTCTCTAGCTTTTTGACCAAATTAAGGAAAAGATCATCACCACCACTATGACCAACTGACTCTGCTGAGGGTGGTCTCCGGTGGGCAGTTGGTTGGCTAACCTCCTCCAGGGCCACAGTCCCCTCCTGCCAGCTTGCCCCGCCCGCCCCAAGTCCCAAGCCCCCTCCGGCACCCTGGCCAGGCCACCCGCATGGACCTGGGGTCCGCCCCTCGCAGCCCAAGCCTTCGTCCCTGGGCTGCAGGGACACGACTCAGTGGATCTTCCGAGTCAGCTGCTGGGCGTCACCGCTCCGCAGGACGGTGCTAAACAGAGGAGGGGTCTTCCTGTAGTGACAGGCACACAGGGAGGTGAGGGCCGTCGGGCCAAAGGTTTGCTCTGTTTCTGGGCTGCTTCCCCACTGTGCGCTCCAGCAGGGAGCTGCAGAGGCCCTGGAGCCCCTTTCTTGCCAACACCTAGTGAGGCCTGTGTTCTTGACTCAGCTGTGCTCCCCCGGGAGGCTTCCTAGTGGCTGTCCCATGATGTCAGGCCTGTCCCAGTGCTGTCTGCCCCCGCTGTCTTTGCCGCTAACTTCACGTCCTGCCAGAAAGAACCGTGTCTGGCCTGGAGGGTGTGGGCCCCAAGAAGGGGCTGCCCTGCTCCGACGCAGTGTAGCTTCCCCAGGAAACCAGTTTCTAAGGAGAACAGGTGACAGTGGGATCGCCAGGGGACAGACGGAGAGGGGCCGCCTCCCACGCTCACGTGTGTGATTGTCCTACGCTGACCATGCGGGAACCGCTCTGGCTACAGCCCCCCAGGTTCCCGGGGACCCGTCTTCCCGATGTATGGCTGCTGAGTGTGCTGGACGGTCTACTTACCCGACCATGAGGAAGCCCTGGTACAGAGGGACCGACGCGAAGTAGAAGACGGAGGAGAACACGGCCTGGAGGGAAAGAGCAGTGACGCAGTCCCTGTTCTGGTGCTCAGAACATGCGAGGCACCAGAGGAGCCACGGTCCACCGCCCTCCAGGGGGGCGGGGGCGGGAGGGGTGCTGGGAGTGGGCAGGGCCGGGGGTGAGGATTGGGTCGGGTTGGAGACAGGGATTGGGGTAGGGTTGGGGGCGGGGATTGGGTGGGGTTTGAGGCAGGGATTGGGATGGGGCTGGGGGCAGGACAGTGCCAGGCGCACCTGCATTGTAGAGATGATGAGGCCCCGGTGCATGACGAACTGGCCGAGCGCCGCAGAGCGCTTGTAGCTGCTGCGGCCGTGCACCATGAGCAGGCGGCCGACGTGCTTGAACCGTGTGATGGAGAAGTCAGCTGCCAGCGAGGCCTGCCGCCCCTCCTGCAAGGGCGGGTGGGGTGCTCAGGACCAGCTGAACCCACTGGGCAGCGACACGCTGCTGGGGACAGGCCGGCGGGGCGCGTCCGACCCACAGCTCCTGGGAGTGCAGAGCGGGAGGCACTGTGCGGGGCCCCTGCTCACGGGGAGCCCACTTTGGGCTGAGGAGCGGCCGCTGCCCCCAGGACCTCGGGAGGGCCCAGCTCCAGCACTGTGGGTGCTCCAGGATCTTAAGCAGGGACCTCGGGCGTCTGCAAGCCAGTCCTCGCAACCTGTCGCCTCAGCTGGAGCCGCCCCACCCACCCCACCACGAGCAGCTGCAGGTTCAGCTGTACCAGACACCCGACTGTGGGCCCAGGAAGCAAAGGGGCTGGGATCCTGTGCGTGCTCCATCTCTCTGGGTGTTTTCACATGAGCTCAGAGGACAGACTGGCCCGGGCATCGAGTCGTGGCAGGTCGTGACTGTCCCCACCTGACCTTCAGGGAACTGCTTCCGCAGGGCGGTGGGCCCCGCCTTGCCCCCCCCCTCCATGTGCTGGAGCCCCAGGGAGCAGGTGTGGAGGGGGGTGGGGGGGGGGGCAGGGACAAGGNTGTGGAGGGGGGTGGGGGGGGGGCAGGGACAAGGCTTGCCGCACCTTCCCCTCGATGCCAATCCCGCAGTCTGCCGCCTGGATCATGCTCACATCGTTCCCTCCGTCACCTGAGGCAGGGAACAGGGTGTGAGGGGGGGGCCCGCCTCCCTCACTGACAGCAGACAGGGGTCTGCGCCCCAGGTATCACACCGATGGAGTCCAGCCGGCAGGGAGACAGGGTGCCCGCCCCCGTGTGGGGACGCTCACCAATGGCGCAGGTGCGCCGGCCTGTGTGTTGCTGCAGGAGCTTGACGATGTGGGCCTTCTGGGTGGGCGAGCAGCGGCAGCAGACCACAGCTGGGCACTGGCAGGCCAGCTCTACAAACTCGTGCTCGTAGTACTTCAGGCAGACCTGGGGGAGGGGCGGGCCCGGGTTCACAGCCAGGGACAGACAGCAGACGCACAGCCGGAAGGCCAGGACTCCAGGGCGGCCTCCGACCAGCCCGCCTCCTTACCCGGCTGAAAAGATCTTAGTTTCTGGTCACATGGAACACTTTGATCCCTATCTCCCGATCTTGGCTGGGAAAATAAAGATCCCCCAAAGCTGCCTGAAGGCTGCGGGGCCCCACAGCTGAGCTGCACACTCCGAGTCACAGCAGTGGCTCTGCCGTCCAGGCCCCATGTTCCCAGGCAGTTCTGAGGGGCCGCTGAGCAGACTCGGGAGATGCAGAGCCCAGCAGCGTGGGCGGCAGGCTGTGACCACAGCCACCAGCCCCTCATGGGTCCACGGGGAGAGCTGGAAACATGGCGCCATCCGCAGGCACGCGGCCTCAGAGGGCACGGCCATCTCTGCTGCTCCCCCGGGGAAGTGTGAGTGCTGCCCCCACCCTGGCCAGCTGGCCTCAGCGTCCCACTGACAAGGGCTGGGTCACAAGAGGACCCACCACTTCGCCCAGACTCCTAGAAACACCTGCGAGAACCGTGGGCAAGCTGCAGAGGGTGTGGGTGCCTGGCACCCCCTTGTTTGGGTAACTGTGGCCGCCAGGCCCACGAGCAGGGGGAGGGGGAGGGGACTGGACATCTCCATGAGCCGCCCAGCCCATGCGGGGGTCTCCAGGAGCACAGGGTCTCCGGGGTTCCGGGCCCCTGCTGGACGTCTGTGTGTGGATGAATTTAGATCGTGACGTGGGGTTCCAGAGCCAGGACTCGAGGGCAGCCATGCTGCTAACACGGAGCGGGATCCAGGCGCCTGGAGAGGGACTGCGGGAGCTGGCGGCAGAGCGAAGGTAAGAGCCGTGTGGGCCAGGCTCTCACCGCAGCACAGCGGCCGCCCCTCAGGGCCCACCCCTCATAGGGCTGCACGTGGCCTGCTGAGCGCAGACAGCCAGAAACAGTGTCGAGCAGCAAGGCAGGCTGGCAGGTACACCTGCGGAAGCCCACAGGCTGCCAGACAGGCAGGCAGGTCTAGGGGCAGGCGCGGCCTCACCTCCAGGCAGAAGGACAGACAGACAGGTCTAGGGGCAGGGTGAGCCTCACCTCCAGGCAGAAGGACAGACAGACAGGTCTAGGGCCAGGGCAAGTCTCACCTCCATGAAGAAGGACAGATGGACGGATAGGTCTAGGGGCAGGGTGAGCCTCACCTCCAGGGAGGACAAGACAGACAGGTCTAGGGGCAGGGCGAGCCTCACCTCCAGGCAGAAGGACAGACAGACAGGTCTAGGGGCAGGGTGAGCCTCACCTCCAGGCAGAAGGACAGACAGACAGGTCTAGGGGCAGGGTGAGCCTCACCTCCAGGGAGGACAGACTGACGGACAGGTCTGGGGCAGGCCAGCCTCACCTCCAGGGAGGACAGACAGACGGACAGGCCTGGGGCAAGCCAGCCTCACCTCCAGGGAGGACAGACAGACGGACAGGCCTGGGGCAGGCAAGCCTCACCTCCAGGGAGGACAGAAGGACATGTCTGGGGCAGGCCAGCCTCACCTCCAGGGAGGACAGACAGATGGACATGTTTGGGGCAGGCCAGCCTCACCTCCAGGGAGTCCCCGGAAATGACCAGTGCACAGTCGTGTTTCCTTCGAAAGGCGTTCAGCTCCAGGTGGGCTTCTCCACGGCTGGTCACCTCCACAAACCGGGAGAAAGGCCCAGTTAGCATGATGGAGCTTCAGACACAGGAAATGCTGTAACAAACTGTCTTCCAAATTTCTTCTGCAGTGCTGGCAGTAAACACCTACTTATTTAATACCATTGATTCCCAATTTGTGGCAACTCAGAGCAGGAGACGCACTGGCAGGGCAAGCACTATAACCTCAATAAGATGATTTGAGTGAAGAGGGGGGCAGCCTGCCCCGTGAGTGCCTGACGCCCTGTGAGCGCTCACGAGCACATGCGTGTGAGAGCGTGGCAGCCCCTGCCCCCGCGAGCGCCAGACGCCCCGTGACTGCTCACGAGCACAAGCGGGTGAGAGCGCGGCAGGCCCCCCCATGAGCGCTCATGAGCACATGCGTGTGAGAGAGCATGGCAGCCACGAACGGACGGTCTACACGAACGGACGGTCTACACTCTCGGGGTTGGGCGTCGGGTGGATGTCTGAGGAGGCTGAGCAGGGGGTGGGGGACGGAAGGACCATTTACAGACGCCTTGTTCATAACAAAGCAAGTGACACAAAATGCTCGTTTTGTGTTTCTGTCATGAGTTTCAACTTCTTGTGTAGTTCAGGCCAACTAAGTATCTGGAGGATTAAACAATGCAAAATCGAGCTGTAATCTCAAAATATCATTAATTTTAGGATGCAAACATTTCAGAAGCCAACACACCAGTTTTTGACATTCTTTCTGTGGAGATTTTATGGGGCATAAAAGGAATGATATATTACAGGACTAAAATAAAGTTTCATGTGTTTCAAATTAATCCCAGACTCATCTTTAAGTAGGTAGTTTTTATTGTGGAGATTTTATTTGTGGGGCTATAACACTGAAAAGTCAACAAAAATTGATCTGAAGTTTTATCAGAATCATTAATAATTTAATTGCAAACAGCAGTCTGCAGGGCCTCATTAGCGATTCTGATGCTGAGATAAGTGAATTCACAGTAAATCATATTCAGGTCGCTATTCCTGTGGGTGCAAGTGCTTCACTTGGAAGACAGACACACACCGTGTCTGCTTAGCCACCACCAATCAAGACCCAAGAAACTTTTTGTCTGAATCAAATTTCATAACTAATAGATGCAGTAAACACATAAATTTATATCATTTCTATTAATTTCCTTTGATCTAATTAAGGGAGAACATTTAATCTGAAGATGGCAGTAGATTAAAAACATGTCTACTTTGCATTTACAGCTTGCCTCACAAAAGCGGCCTCTGGACTGCAAGTAACGTGTATGACTAAGAGACAGACATTATTATTTCTTGCCTGCACCACACAGCTTGTGGGATCTTAGTTTTTGGGCCAGGGACTGAACCGGAGGCCTCAGCAGTGAAAGCACCGAGTCCTAACCACTGGACCGCCAAGGAATTCCCAGACAGATGTAATTTTTTTAAATCAATATACACTAGTATGTCTATTTTAAAATAGATATTTAATTGTTAATAATTCTAATACTACTACAGGAAAATACTCTTGAATGTTTATCTTGTTTCACTCTATCAAAAGCAGCTTTCTGATCACATTAATATATGTAACTACCAGAAATCTATTTTTAACATTTATAAATTGAGTAAGGAAATTATTTCTCTTTTTAAATAGGTATCTGGTAATTAATTTACGTTCTCACAAAACCAGTAAATTTTAATTCAAAGCATTTAAAGTTCAAAGGGATGTGGACGTACACTTACCGGCCTGAAAACATGTGTGTCCTGTGTTCGAGAAACTAGGTGAGAACTCTTGGCAATGCACGTGGCGGTCTCCAGCTTGTCGCCTGTCAGCATCCATATCTAGGAGACAGTCCCGGCGGGTGAGCCCCAGCTGTCACGAGTTCACCTCTTAAGTCTCTACCCTTGGACACACACCTGCATCTACAGCGTCACTATTCACAACAGCTGAAACGTGAAGTGAGGCGAGAGTCCACGGACGGAAGGTGGAGAAACCCAGTGTGGTCCCTCTGACACCTGCTACAGTGCAGGCGAACCTCGAGGACACTGTGCTGGGTGGAACAAACCAGTTGCCAAGGGCAAACACTGCCTGATCCTGCCTAAATGCAGTCCCTAGAGGAGTCGGGCTCACAGAGACCAATGGACCGGCAGGTGCTGGGCTGAGGCAGGAGAGCCGGCAGCCCAGGGGCAGTTTCACCCTGACAATGTGGCGAGTGAAGGCAGGCATCGGCGGCAGTGCAAGTGTACCTAGTGTCACTGCTCCGTGCACCGGAGACTGTGAAGACGGAGTGAGAACGTCTCAGATGATGTGCTAATGGGAACGCCAAGAGCAGGGTAATGTGCAGACGCGGCAGCCGGGGCCAGGGCAGGCGAAGGACTCGGGGCATGAGCTTTGTGGCCAAAGGAACACGGGGCTGGGGGTCTGCAGAGCTGAGGACCCCAGATTCCTGTCTGACCTGTGAGCTTCTAAGTTGAAAGCTGGGGTTCAAGATGGGTAGATGAGCAGTGGTTAAGCCAGAAGTTGTTTGTGCCAAATAAGGCATGTTGAACAAGACCATGAAAAACAAAAAGATCTAGCCCATTTATTATTGTTATTATTTTACTTAATTTCTGCTGCACCCTGTGGCTTGTGGGATCTCAGTTCCCCAGCTAGGGACTAAACTTGGGCCGTGGAAGCCCAGAATCCTAACCACTAGGTGACCAAGGAACTCCTGAGACCACTCTTACTTATAAATACCACACACGTGCACATGTTAGTGTGTGAATCTCCCTAGCCTGCAAAGAGAGCAAAATCAGCACACTTTATACATAACAGAATGGTTTATACATACTTCCCATAATATCAGTAGTCTCTATCATCTGAATTTTTCAGGTGTCTTAGGTATCACACATAAGCATGAATTTGGGGCACAGGACACAAACTTGCATGGTATACTGGCTCTCTGCTCCAGTGGCTCTTTTCAGTGTCTGAGGATTTGTGTTATTTCTGTTACACATTTAGATTCACTTTACTGAGCCTAGATCTAAGTAACTTAGTTGGACATGGCTGGAAACAAGCCACAGAACAAGAAGCCCCGCTCCCAACAATCTGGTGACTGTGCCCTGCGAGCGCCATGGCTCACACTCAGAGGATGGGCCGAAACTGCATCCTTCCACGGGATGGGACAATGGAGTCTGCATCTTCAGATGGCAAAAGGGGAGGAACAAGGGCAGAACCTCACCAAGCCCTTCTCCAGCGCTCAGGGAGCAGCTACGGCAGACACCCACATCTCTACAGCCAAAACCACCCAGGATGACACCCGAGAGCTGGACTGGGCGGAGCTCAGGAAGAAACACGGTGAACAGGCAGGCTGTCTGCTCAAACCCGTCTCACGTCTCCACCCAGCTTCCTGGCAGGACGGGCTGAGGCTGGTTCAACGCTCAGAGTCCGAGCCGCTCTCTCTGACTGCCACCTGGACAGCAGCCTGGACCCCCACCGGGGCCCCACAGTGTCCCTCAGCGGGTGGGGGGGTCTCCTGTGTCTCTCTGTGCTGTCACGGCGCCCTCCTCGAGCTGTGCCGAGGGCACTGTGATCTCATGCTGGCACAGCTTTGTGTCCTGACAGCTCCCTCAAGTGTGCTCTCGGGTCCAGCGAGACACAAGTGTTTCTCTTCAGTACAATTCTCAAAAGTGGAGGGCCTGTTCTGAGGCAGCATGTTTCTTGCCCCCCCATAACTGTACTTCAGCTTCAGTGAGAGCACTGAAGGCAAGAAAACAAACTGAAACTTCCAGCCAAAGCCCTCGTCTTCCTGGACCCGAAGAGGACAGACCTCTGAGAAGCCAGCTGGTCTGTGGGTCAGCAGGCAGTGCCGTGCAGGTTATGGGAAACCCCCAAAGTGGGTACAGGCTGCAGTGCAAGCAGCTCGGGCCAGGCCAGGGGGCAACCAGCCCACCCTGCGAGTGCCTGCAAACTGGGGGCGGCATGGAACTGCCCGCACCTCTGTGGATGGGCGTCCAGCTAGGGACTCGGAAGCTTCCGGATGTGCTGGTTTCTTCTCTGAGGGTCATGCAGAGACCTCGGCTTACAGAGCCTCCCACGCTCCGTCTTAATATTTGAGTTCCAAGGGACCACCCCAAGGGGACGGGGTGCTGAGTTCCAGGGGACCACCCCCCGGGGCAGGGTACCCCGGGGGGGTACCTGGTTCGGGGGACCACTGCTGTGGGTGGCAGGGTACCTGGGGGCGGGGGTACCTGGTTCGGGGACCACTCCCGGTCTGTACCTTAATGCCGGCGTTGCGCAGCATCTCCAGGGTGGGCCTCACGTCCGCCTGCAGCTGGTCCTCCACGCCCGTCAGGCACAGCAGCTCCATCTCCCGCTCCAGGCTCTCCACCACCGCGGCCACCTTGAGCGTCCGGTCGTGGAGGCTCAGCTTGGCCTGGTTGTAGCGGCTCTGAGGATGACAGTGGTGCCATGAGTCACGCTGGACCGACAGGCCAGATGCCCTGCCCACCTGATGACGGTGGCCCCAGGGGAGGCTGCCTGCTCACCTCGAAGTCCTGGTACTGCTCCTCCGTGAGTGCCCTCTTGGCCACCACGAGCGTGCGCAGGCCTTCACGGGCCATGTTTCCACACTGGGAGAGCACAGGCAGGTCACAGGCTCGCCACGGGCTCGGCACCCCCCCGGGCAGTCACTGTCACGGCCTCCCTCAGGAGTGGGCAGCAGAGAGGTATCGGAGAAGGAGCTGCCCCCCAGCACCTCCAGCGCGGTCCCTGGAGGAGGTGCTCACAGGGCAGGCCTCACGCCATCGCCCTTTCCACCACACGAGGGCAAGGGTTAGTGGTTTTGTTTTTCAAATTTGGGAAACAAGTTTATAACCAAAATTTCACTTGGTTGCCTCCCTGACACAGAACAGCCCCTGTAAACTCAGGCTCCAAGAACCTGTGGGCTTTTGAATAAACCAGAAGGCTCTCAGACAACAATAGTACTACAACAAAGATGCAGGCGGGGGTTGAAAGATGTGTCCACAGAAGAAACTACAATGTTGGAAATAAACGCATAAAGGATTTTTAATAAAGTTATCTTTGTGAAAAACAATCTGATATTATCTGTCTGTTGCAAGACATTTATTGATTTGACCTCATAAAGCTAAATAAATTAAACAAGGATTTTATAATTAATTGTACATCATTATGACCAAAAGTAATTTTTATGGCATTTTACTAGGTCTTCAGGGAGTTTAATTTATTCATGTCCCTGATTAAATCCAGTGCCTGGAGGAGCTATTGATTCATATTGCCAATACCGTCATGGACGTCGGCTGTGGTCCCTGGACTGACAGACCGACTCCAGGCGTGCAGTGGGGGCAGGGTGCACTGGATCCCGGCAACAACAGGCACAGTAGGGGGTCGTGCCCATGACTTCAGGGGGTTAGTTCTCCTCTGAATCTAACTTTTTATTAACACATAAATGTGAACAACAATTACAAATCGTACTTGTTAGGGAGAATTTGATGAAAATATAAGATTGGTTATATCTGGGTCTTACTTTCCATGTTTATAGTGAATCTTATGTGCAAATAAGAATTACATTAAAATTCTAACTAAAATCTTGTAATTATTTAGGTTACAAAATAAGTACCATGTTAAAATATAACTCTGGATATAAAGACAATATTATTTCAGATTTTTTAGTGACTAATTAGTGATGCTTTCTATTTTTTTACCAACATAAAATATTCTTCTTAAGGACCCGCCTGCATATATGCACATGTATTCACACGAAACCCCGAACATCAGCTGTTCACACAGCAAATACGTGTCGTATCACCAGCTCTTCCACCTCTTCTGCTCTACGGGCTGACTGATGTCTGGTTGAAACTGGAACCTCGGTTCATCCAGTGACCCCAGTGAGTACCCACAGCTCACGCCCTGCGCTGCATGAAGAACCTGCAGATGCCAGTGAGTGCATACCTCCTCCTCCAGCCAGTCATTGTACTGCACGATGGAGGCCATGGCCACGTCAGCGCCCTTCATGTAGAACGTAATCTCTGCTGTGGACTCGTCCTGCAACGAGACACGCCTGCTGAGGCCAGGCTGCTCCTGCACGTGAGGCTGCCCAGACACAACAGCCCGAGACAGCAGCCCCCGGGAGCACATCTCTCCAGGCGGGCTGCTCAAACACCCCCTCTGCAGGGCCGCGTCCTCCCTGGGCGCCCAGGCCGACTGCAGCCGAGGCCACAATGGCAGCTTGCAAGGTGCTGCGCTAAGGCTTTTGAAGTAAAACCTGTACACGTACATATGCCTGGGACTGCAAGGGAAATCCTCTCAAATTTTCATAGTTTGAATGAGCTTCCAGTTTAGCCAACATCCAAGATGTATTTGTGGTATTTGCTACAAAAATTTGACAGCAACTTTATGGTCATAAGTCAGTCTTCAGGTAAACTCTTTAGTGGCTACTGCAGTGGAACACAAAGCAGCTCGAGCTGATTTCAAAACTCACCAGTAACACCTTGTACTCACCCTGCCTTAGTTGTTTTAGGAAAGTTGCTCCAAACCACGACCATTAGGGCATAAGCTATCAGTCTGAATTTTGGGACACGCATAAAGTGCTGCAGGGAGCCTCAGTGGCCCTGCAGTGAGCAGAGCCACCCCTGGCCGGGGCAGGGGCAGGCGTACCCTGACGATGACCCCCATGCGCTTGCTCTCCGACGTGAAGGGGAAGGTCTGCAGGATGCAGTAGGTGAGGATCTGGCCGCCAGGGGTCCGCAGCTGCATGGACGTGAGGTCTCTGCTGACCAGCGTGAGGCCGACGCTCTCAGTCCACCGCACCAGGGCCACCTGCGGGGACCAGCGAGGGGTGAGGCCACCTGCGGGGACCAGCGAGGGGTGAGGCCACCTGCGGGGACCAGCGAGGGGTGAGGCCACCGCTCCCCACGGGGACCAGCAAGGGGTGAGGTCACTGTGGGGACCAGTGAGGGGTGAGGCTCCCCATGGGGACCAGCGAGGGGTGAGGCCACCGCTCCCCACAGGGGACGGTGTCAGGCCAGCGCCAGCAAGCTCACTGAGACGCTACCAGGAGGCAAAGCTGGCCCTGCTTGTTCTGAGGCCTTTCTAGGGGACACTGGCCACTCCAGGGTCCACAAGCGTGTGAACGTGACACAGTGAGTCACCGTGGAGCTGAAATTAGAACCCGCCTTCCCCGGATTTCCAGCGCGTTACTAGGATACTACAGAAGGCTGAGCCCTAACAAGATGCTATGAGGATACAGGACTATAATTAAGAGCATCAGTGATGTTCCCGAAATTACAGCATTCAAAAGGGACACACGGACATCAGCAGAGGCATGTCAAAGGGGGCAAGTCAACAATTTCACAGCCCCATGCAAACATAAACTGAAAGTGAAACTCCACGTTCCTACACAACCTCTCTGTATCTGCACGTGATCTGGACCCCGAGGTTCGCCTTCAGTCTGTGCAGTGAAAGGTTACTATTACATCCTGACCTATAAATTGTATCTTCCTGTGAACACCCTATCATCTCGTTGGGCCCGCTGCAGTCAGGACGCAAGTTTCTATATTTGGTGACTCACATCTGTTTATTATTTAGCTTATGCTTGGTTTCACAACCCCTTGGAGGTAGCATTTATCACAAAAAATCAGTTGGGCTTCTGTTACCTAGCCTAGCATCCATGTAGCTGTTCTTAGTGAGCATTCTGCAGTTTAACTGTCTGTTGCCAACAGGAGGAAAAGTGTTCAGGATTTCAATGGTATAGACACTTAGGACAGACACTTTAGTTACCGTTCTGATGTCAGTTGCTTAGCTCTGGGCCTCTCTCTGATAAAATAAAACTTAACATTTCTGAGCAGGTCTGTAAACAAACAGCCACAGAGGATGGACAGGAACGCGCAGGACTCCTCGCCATGGGCTCAGCACCCCGGCCACCACCACCTGTGGCCACATGCGTGGGGCCGCAGGGCCCGTGAGGGCAGAGGGTCTCCCTGGCTCTGAGCTTCACCACCCTGCCTCGGCAAGCCTCGGGGCTGCAGTCAGCCTCGCAGAGTCCAGGCCGCACTCTCTGTACGTCTGAAGTAAACTAGTGCTGTTCTTTTTAGACGGCTTTGAGGAGTAACTTCATATCCAGAGGTGTGACATGTAGCAGTGAAAGGAAGGAAACTTTCTAAGGTACTGACAGTTTGACTGTATATTCTTCTTAAAGATGATTAAGCAATTAAAACAAACATGCTGTTTGAAAGCATAATGTCTCCTAATGCAGAATGAAGGGCATCAGTCGAGGGTGGGGAGGCTCTTCACGTGACTTAGCTCTGCTGGCTAAGCGATCCCCTGGAGGCCCCGCACAGACTGGGCGGCAACGGTGCACTCAGACCTGCGGCAGAAATGACTGTCCGGTTACAGAGCTGGACAACAGCAAGGAGGTCTGCGATGGCCTCGGGGAAGACCCTCGACGCCCACTGTGTTCAGAGCTCTACCCCAAGGGACCAGTACCACAGACACCTCCTGAACCAAGGAGAAACAGTCTCTTCTTCAAGGTGGTTGAACAGTGGGAAGCTCAATGTGATGCTGAGACAGGAGAGAACATATGGAGCCCTGTCTGAGCTCTGGCTTGTGTGAGGCAGTCTTCTGGGTCCTGGAAGAAATGGGGGTGAGAGCTCGTCCAGCATAATCTGGGCTTTGAGAGTAAAAACCCGATTTTCACCCTAGGAGTCCCTAGTTCGTGGTTAGCCACTTTTTCACAAGCAAAATGTCATGGCTCGAAAGAAGCGCCCAGGCCGCTCCATGGTTCCATACAGCCAATGTTTGCACCTGTTTTTGGTGGCGCTGGTGTTCAAATTTTTTGCTTCTGTTTAAACTGAGTGGTTGTTTTCTCATGATCGAGTTTTGTGAGTTCTTTATCTGTACTAGTTGCTGGTTGTTTATCGGGTATGCATTTTGCAAACACATCCTACAACTCTGGAGCTTGTCTTCTTTTTCTTAACAATGTTTCTTGAAGAATGCAGGATTTTTACCTCGAAGTCTAATTTATCAGTTTTTTCTTTTACAGCTTGCACTGTTTGTGACCCACAAAATCATTGCCTAACTCAAGCCGACAAAGATTTTCTTCTACGTTTTCTTTTAGAAATTTTATACTTTTGGTTTTTCATTTAGGTCTATGACCAATCTGAATTAATTTTTATAATAGTGAGACATACTGGTTCAGGCTCTGTTTGCAAATGGCTGTTCAAATGTTCTGTGCCCCATTTATACTGATTATCTTTTCTGTAATGGATTTACATGGCACCTTTATAAAAAATCAGCTGACATCTTGGTAACAGAAAGTCTTCCAACCCATGTGTACAATACATTTCTCACATATAGTGTCCTCAAGTTTTCTTCATTGTCTTACACTTTCCAGCATACAAATCCTATACGTATTTTGTCAGATCTATCCTTAAACATTTCATAGTTTTCTGTGTGTGCGTTCTATACATGGCACATTAAAAATTTTCAATTTTTAACTGCTCACTGCTGGTATATACAAATAGGAGTAATTCTTGTATATGCATATCATAATATACAACTTTGGTAAACTCACTTATTAAGTCTTAGGAGAGAGTTAAATTTTCAGCAGAGCTTTTGGGATTTTCTATGGAAATAATCACATTATCTATTGAAAAAAGGGAGTTTTGTTTCTTCTTTTTTTTCTGGTCTACTGAGGTTTTATGTAGTTCTTACACTCCATTTTGCTAATCTGTATTCTTTCTGAACACGGATATTTAGAGGTTTTAAAAAATATTAGCATTTGGGCTGTGTTTTAATATTCTCTTTTAAAAATGTAAGCTCATCTGTTTATTATACACTATTCATATGCATAATTTTAGGTGTGTATGTTTACTTTGCATTCACTGTTTTGTATTATTTACTATTTTTGCTAAGTTTTTCCATTTTATTTAATTTTCAAAAGATCAGCTTTTGAATTTACTGTATATTCAATCATTACTTCTATGTTTTCCCTTATCTTTTCTTTCTCCTACTTTCCTTTGGTTCTGCCTTTCTCTTCAACATTTTAGTTGGACACCAGCCTCACTTGCTTGCTTCCTTCCTTTCCGTCGGTGCGGTCCTGGTTTGATGTGGAGGCGGGGCTTCCCACTGTTGACTGCCCCCACTAGGGGTGCTCGGGGTGCACGACCACGGCCCTGGCTCCTCTCGGGCTGCCGTGCTCGTGTCGGGTCACACTGCTGCTGTGTGGCGTTCCTTACGGGGCCTTCGCAGAAGGAGAGCTGCTGGGGCAGGTGTGGGGGGACCCTCTGGACGCCGTCAGTGATGGAAGAGATCACGTAAGGATGACTACTTCTCTAACTTGGCTTTTAGACATTTCTAACAATGTGATTATTGAAAATAATATGAAGGTCAAAATAATTAAAATGCAAGTGTGAAAAATACGTATTTAAATGGGAGCTTGAGCTAAATCTCATCCACAGGACAGTTAGTAACATGCTTGGGCAATCATTGTCACAGGCAATTTGTTTATGCTCTCACACTTCTCCACGCTAGGTAGCCAGTGTGGGGCAGATTTTGTTATTAATGTTGGCTATAATTCCGTTATAAAGCAACGTCTGTGGTGTCGTTCTTGAAAAGCTCAGGAGAAGTTTCCTTTACCATATTAGCATCTGCATAGCCACCAGCTACACTCCAGGGACACCTTTCCTACTGTGCACCTTATAAATCACAATTTGATCACTGACATGTCTTCATTTTCAATTGCGGTACTACCATCACTGCCATAATTTGACAGAATTATGAACAAAATGTGCAAGCTGACCACCTGGAAAAGCTGCCAGTCAATACTTAGGGCAGGCTGTGCGGTTCGTGTTCTGTCCTGCTCCTGAGGGTCATGGAGGGGGACTCACGTCACAGACAGGGAGCTGTTCCCCATAAACATGCTGACCCTACACCATATTTAGTCCTGCTTCAATAAGCACACACAATAAAACGAGTGCAAAGTTACAGCACGCTGAATACATTGGAGTAAATCAAAAGCAATGCCATTAAGGATGGTCATTCTTTTGTTTGTAAATAATCCACTCACGGTTTGTCATAAATTTCAGCTGATTCCTGCACAGAAACATCCACATGAACAAAAATAGCTACACCCTGAAATAATAGTTAATATGGAACTTACATAGGTGAAGGAGAAAATGTTACTAACAACAGCAGGTTCGCAGGTTTAAGTCTCTGAAAATCTCAACCTATTGATCATTTTGAGCCGAACTGACCGTGGTCTTGGGTTTACATCTTGCTGGGCTTGCTCACTGGAAGTGACGACCTGGCGCCTGAGGCGCTGCCCCTGAGCTGACTTGGTGGCGCCCATTGGTGACATGGGCTTGGTCTCAGCTTCCACAGCTGCACTGGACACAGAGCTCACCAGGGCTGGGTTTTAACTATGTCCAGGAATTCCCGGGAACATATGTCTGCTAAGTTGGAGTTTGCTATGCTGAGGCTGTACTGGCAAAGTGACAGGCAAGCGAAACTTTCTACTCTCTTGGAGAAAATGAAATATTGATCACTTATCATAAGAAACAGCGACCAGGGCCTAAGTAGGCTGCAGGTTCTGAATACGAAATCACTTCTGCTCTGACAGCCCAGCCCCTGCTGCACGTGACAGCTTCAAGCAGCTCGTCACTGTTAAGTGTGCAGGGACTGTGCCTCGGACAGCCTCTCCTGGCTTGAAGTCAATCCCCAGATGCCGTTCCTGGAACAGGAGAAGTGCATCTGTGCACATGCAGAGGTAAGGCAGAAGATGCTCTTTTCAGGAAAATGAACTCGAAGAGCTGCCACAATATGAGAGACTCAGAAACCAGTACATTCTACTCAGTAAGTAATACTTTCTGAAACTAAGATGACACAGGAGCCTAAGCAAATAGGGATTATAAGAGTATGGTGTTGACACAAGTATATGAAGCCGGTTAAGTCTCCTAAATGATAAGGTTGCTTATTAACTGCACACATGCTGACAGGTCAAGGCTGAGGGCAAGCAGAGAACATCAACGGAGCCATTTCACTGAAAAAAGCTCCAGGGTGCAATATTCTAAGCACTTTATTCAATAAAAAATGCTTTTAAAACAGTACTTTGGTGATTGGGAAACAGTGCCATCATCTGTCAACCTAACTGTAGCAAAGCTCAATAAGTGAAATAATGAAACGTTTAGATGATTTTCCTTGGGCTCCAGGGACCTGCAAACACTGCATCCACAAAGTGCTTTAAAAATTATGATGAAGTCAAGTCTTTTCATTTTCAGATTTAAAATATGGGTTAGGGATTTCTTAGAGGTTATTTAATGGCCTGCCATTTTTAATCATTGTCCAATTTCTCTAAAGTAGGAAGAAATTTTCAAATAAAAAATTTAAATATAAGGTTAGTAGTTTTAATTTAATTTTAGAAATCTTTAAATTAGTGAAATCTCTCTCTACTGTGAATTCCTAATTTAAAATTCCAAAAATGAAAAAAAGAAAAAAAATTCCAAAAATGTAACCCAAAAAGCCTAAGATAAAAATTCTAAGTATTTTAAATAAAATTTGTATTTATTTTTGGAAGGTAATAAGGTAAACATGTAATATATGATTTTTAAAACTTCCAATAAAATTTTCCTTGGAAAATATCTGTGGTCTAGGTTTCCTGTGCTCAGGACTGGGAAAGAATGTTTTCAATAAGTAATCATATGGAACTTGAGAGGATTTCTAGACCACTAGAATGTGAAGAGTGTAACTCCTTCTTTGCAAGAAAAACAGCGGCGGCGTCCCCCTCCGATGAGCATCTGCTCCAGGCCGATGCAAGGCCAGGCCAGCAGCCCGGACACCTGATCCCCCGCCTCGGCGGCCCAGGCCCCATGTCCGTGACCGTGAGTGACATGTGTTTCAGGTGACATGCGTGACTCCAAAGGCCGGACCGAGCTCTGGTCGAAAAGCAGTTTCTACACACCTGCTGGTCAACGTGGTCTGTAAAGCAGAGCGGGGCGGACGGACGGGACCCCGTGCTCTCACCCACTGCGTCACTCACCAGGGACGTGGGGCCAAGGGTGTGCCCCGAGGGTGGCTCGGTGCTCCACGCCCTGGGTCCCTGCTCTGCACAACGGCTCAGCTATGCTGCGGGGCGTCCCCACGGCTGACCACAGCCTGGCTCCCAGCTCACGGGCGCCCCAGCACTTACTGGGAAGACAGGCACTGAGACTCACAGAAGGCAAAGGCTGAGCCATGGGGCAGGCTCCCACTGGACCTGCTGGGGAAGCCACACACACCAGTGGACGTGACAGGAGAGAAGCAGACTCACAGATACAGAGAACAGACGAGTGACGACCAGTGGGGGGAGGGGTGGGGGAGGGGCAGCCACGGGGCGGGGAAAAGGCACAAACCACTGAGTACAAAACAGGCTACAACACGGGATGCACAGCCAACATTTTAGTTACTATAAATGGAGCATAACCTTTACAAACTGTGAAGCACTGAGCCACCAGGCAAGTCTACCTTGCACACCTATAACTGAGATGGCATATCAGCTATACTTCAGTTTAAGAAAAAAGGAAGTACCTCTGTAACGAGAGCTTCAAAAATTAAAAAAAAACCACAGCTGTGGTAGGAGCTCTGTCAATGCCCTGAGCTACTGCTCCACTGGGGGTTCACCACGAGGAAGTCAGGACAGGCTGCAGGCCCTCCACTGCACACCCCGGCTTGCATCCTCTCGGAGCCTGGCAGTACCAGGGGAGGGACCAACTGGGGTGGTGGGCCTCAGCTGTAGTACGACCTGCTGGATTTCCAGGACGGAGAAGAGCTGGCCCCACCTGCAGAATAAACAGCACTTCTAGAACTGAGCTTCCCAGGTGGCGCTAGTGGTAAAGAACCCAGCTACCAATGCAGAAGATGGAAGAGACGCGCATTTGATCCCTGGGTGGGGAAGATGTCCTGGCAGAGGAAATGGCAACCCACTCTAGTACTCTTGCCTGGGAGTCCCATGGACAGAGGAGCCTGGCGGGCTATAGTCCACGGGTCGCAAAGAGTTGGACACAACTGAGTGACTGAGCGCACACACACACATACTGTACCTAAATTGTAGCAAAATACCTGGAGATTTGACTCGCAAGCCTGGTGATTCCCTTGGTGACAGAACATGGGAGGACGCAGCCTGCAGACCTCATGGCATTAGCAAGCAACCTGGCTCCGCTCTCCGCCTCCCCGGACCCAACCCCAGGGCGCTCTGGGATGAGAAGACACCTGCCCTCAAGGACTGGGTGAGGGCAGGGGTTGGGCCAGAAGGGCGCTGGCCTGTGGTGAAAGTCCATTCTGAAAACCACGGACAAGCACTCCTCATCCCACGAGAAAGACAGAGCAAGCACTCCTGGCGGAGCTGGGAGGAGCCAGGGGAGGTGCTGTCTGTGCTGCGGGCCTGCCTGGGACGTGGCCTTCGGTGACTGACCTCGTCGGGGCTGGAGGCCTGGTAGGTGCGGTTGTCGTCACTGAAGTCCTGGTCCGCCTCGGCGACCTCGGTCTCGCCAGCCGTGCCGCGGGCCTCATACACGGGGGTCACATTGTGACACAGGGCGACAGCCTTCACGGCCTCGTGGACCCGGCTGCTCACACTCCTCCTCACCTTGGGTGCTGACGATTGGGCTTTCCTCGGAGGAGTCGAAGCAGTGCTGCTTCCACCAGCCTGACACTGCATCTGCAAACACGGACGTCACAGGATTAGAGGCAAGTAGGCACACGCTGCAGTTATCCACACACACGCCTGTCACAGATGGCCACACCGGGCCCAAGAGTGGCTGGGATGACGGCCGCCTGCACGTGACCCATGGGGCAATGACTCACCTGGGGATCCTGGGGCCACAGAGTGCTTGGACATTTCCCGGTTGTCCAGTAACCGAAATATTTGCTACGGTACTCAAAATCTGACAGTCTCCTTTTGGTAGATTCACGGCAGCCTGGCATGCATGTGCCCAGTCCTTAACAATTCCTGTTTATCCACCACTTCTAAGAGCAAAGTTATGAACTGAATAGAAGACTCACAAGTGCTTTCCTTTCTCCTTAAAAACTGTGTGCATAAAATGGTCTGAGGTTAAGAGCAGGAAAAAGCATTTAGGATGGTTCCCTTAATACTATGGACTTATTGGCTTTGCATCAGTCTCTGAAGTTAAGTGTCTGGTTTGCAGACAAGGAGAACTGGATACAGTAATCGCCTCTTGACGGCCCTGGACACACCGCCCCTCTGCCAACCCCATTCACCTCCTCCTGGGTGGGACTGCAGGAGGACCCTGACCCAAGGCCCATCAGATGCTTCTCCATGGAACCTAAGGGTAACTCCTGACGCCCCTGGAAAGCCTCTCCTCTTCCCAGCTGCCTGTCAATCACAGAGCCGGCTAATGAGGGGTGGCCCCCTGCTCAGCGGGCGTCCCTTCCAGCCTGCGCCCCCACCCACACCGCATCCTGACCACACGCCCACTCAGCCGCCAAGTGGCCCTGCTCCTGCTGACCCAGCCTGAGCAACTCGCTCCACTCAGTCCACTCAGGATCCCAGGGTATAAGCGCGGTCAGGCTGCACCAGACTCGTGTTCCATTACAGTGGACTTAAGACTGTCGTCATCTCATTAACACTAACAACCAGAAGGCAAGGAAGAAATCCGTGTCACATAAAAAGCTGGATAACCAGCCAACGAACATAGCTTTCACTAAAAAAGGTTTGTAAGATTCTTCTTAGATGGGATACTACTTGCTGTGTCTATATGACATCCTTTCTGCTTTTAATTTTTTCTAGTAAAATAACTTATTTGGAGCTACTGAAATCATATTCATGGATAATACAGGGTTGTTTTTTTTTAAGATGTTATCTGGACTATTTAATCTAGACACAGATCACAAGAAGGGAAATTACGTAGTCTTCCATTAAAATGTTTTTATCTATTAATAAATATTCTAGGTTCCAAAATATTCTGTATTAAAATGAATGACATCCAAATTAATAAAGTGCTTGACTTTATGTGTTCGTGCACGGATGAGTGCTTCTGGGAGTGTCTGATCATACATATCATACACACACACTCAGGTAAGGCTGTTTTCATTTGACAGCATCTCAAAACTAAAGTACATGCCAGACTGGTGCACTTCACAGAAAAAAAGAGATGGTTTTCACAAAACTGAATATAAGGCTGAAAACATACTTTGTGTTCTTCTAAGGAAGAACTGCAGAGGGCAAGGAGAGTTCAGTTCAGTCTGTGAAAAAGCAAGTGGGGACACAGTGGCCTCGGCAGGTATGGGCAGCAGTGTGGTCGGACAGCCTGGCAGCAGGGAGACCCATGAGCACGGCCACCACACATGGGACAGAAGCCAGGAGGTGGAGAGCCTGGCAGCAGGGAGACGGGTGAGCACGGCCACCATGTGCGGGACATGAGCTGGAAGGCGGCCGTGTCGGCCCTGCTCTGTGGCCCCTGCCTGTGCTGGGGACCCGTGGCCTTGACACCCCTAACGCCAGGAGCCTGAAGGATGGGGAGGACCACAAGCCCTGATGCCCCATGGAGAGCAAGTGCTGTACCCACTGGGCTGCATCCTCACACAGAAGAAACCGTTCCTCCTCCTGTGACTCAGAGGGCCTATAAGGCTGCTCTGAAAAATATTAAGAAACCTATCCTTGTCCATTAGAGATCCAGACTGCACATTTACAGAAGAACTAACGTGGTACTCTGCCCAAACCAACGTGCTAAAGGACAGTGGTTAAAATGAAACAGGTTAGCTGTGCACTGATGATCGTTGACAGTGAAAGGCAGAAAAATCAGGTTGTCTACTTCTGTTTACTGAGAGGGTTAAAATATACCTTTAAAAATATGAAGAAGTCTTACTGACTACGAAGAAAAACAGAAGGATTAAGAAACATATTTATTGCCTCATTCCACTTAATATTCTTAAAAATACTGTGTTTACTGAGTAATTTTACAAATAGTTCACTAAGGAAATTTAATACAAATAAGTGATTTAAGGTGGTTAAGCCTATGCTTATACAATACACAAACTGTTAACATTAGTCCCAAGACTCTTGCCCGATTTATAAGTGAGTGGCGTGTAAAGCCACGCCGTGGCATCCCTGGGGAAGGCGCCGCATTGCAGCTCGGCACGTGCCATGCCCAGCAACCGTAGCAGCACTGGGCACACCTGCAGGGCTGGGCCTGCTCACCTGTGCGTAGGCGTTCACAAGGTGGTTCTGGATCTCGTCCATCGTGTCCATCCCATAAGACACAGTGCCCAGGTGCAGCCGCTTAAATACCATCTCGTTCTGGGTGAGGGTTCCTAGGAGAGAAGCAGCAGGACACCGTCAACCTAGGGCGCTCATTGGCGGGTCAAGGCTGCGCCCCAGGTCACACCCAGGGCTGGCTGTGCCCTGCACCCCAAGCACGCGCTGTCACACAGAGCGTCGCTGAGTGCTGTCCACACCATCCCCATTTACTTCCTGCTGGGGTCCTTTAATGGACTGGAACCTTGTGGTACGGAGTCGACGACCAGAAAGCAAAACAGAGAAAGAGGCTGATATCCCTTGGTTTACGCAGAGGACCAATAAAGTCCTTGACACAGGACTTGCATCGCTCACGAAGGCACCAGGTGCCCTCTCGAGGTCTTAGAAGCCCGGGCAGAAAAGTGAGCACGACCGGTCTCCACGCTACAGAGAGTCAGCCAGAAAAAGAGAGAGAGAGAGAGAAAGAGAGAGAGAGAGAGACAAAAAAGACCTGGGGACCTAAGCTTGATGAAGCAAAGGTGCTTTAATGATTTTCCTATGAGTATATATAGGCTGTGGTACAAGAAACTTCTTTTGGGAATGATAGAGATCAGAAAACCAAACATACAGCAACCGTTACCAAGGGAACAAGGGGTAATGTTAGTCACAAGGTCAGGACACAATCCATATCTCAAGAAAGGGGAGCGAGACTAAGCAATTTTGTCCTAAAGAGAATGTTTACTAAAGGAGACCCAAGCCTGCCTCACACAATGACCTCAGTCCCTGGGAGCAGCGTGCTGTTCCGCTTGAAGAGGGACAGAGGACTCATGAGAGACAGCACTCAGGAATCCTCCCGTCAAACATTCCCTGACAACTTCCATTTCACTGTGAGGACCGAACGCGCTTCCTACAGCGTCAGGTTCCTTTTTAGTAATTTCCAATGGGTTGGGGGCCGGGGGGTCTGGTTTTGCAGAGAAAGTCCAGGCTCTGTCTCCTGGCTCATATCTGCTGCTGGTCCAAGGCAGACTTGCCCCTTCAGAGAGAGATGGGTGGGAAACTGGAAAAGTGACCCACAGCCGAGATTGGCACGTCTATCCCTGTCACATGAGTCTGTTGTGAACCACAAAGTATTTTCCACTGAACAGAAACAATGCACTCGAGCCTGGGCACCATGTGAGTTGCACAGAGAGAAGGAGAGGAGGCAGAGGTGCTTTCTGGCTGCTCTCCAGCCTGTGGGCCATCCTGCATGCCCTCCTCACCCACCCTGGGACCAACCACCACCTGGGAAAGCCACTTTCAGGAGGGTCCACGGTTTCGGCCTCCAACCAACCAGATACACAACAGGCGCGGTGAAGCACCAGCGTGACAGAGGGCAGGCAGAGGGGAGGCAGTGTATTAAGAACCTTGGTGAGCTCTCACTAACAGTGCCACAGGAGGTCCCAACGTTACTCATGTTATGACCCTGATAGGAGATTGCAACCACCGTACGTGGATCACTTACTATGAAAACGCACACACAAGCATGGGACCTCAATATGAAATCACGCACACGAGCACAGGACCTCAGTGCGAAAACCCGCACACGGGCACGGGACCTCAGTGCGAAAACACGCACACGGGCACGGGACCTCAGTGCGAACACACGCACACGGGCACGGGACCTCAGTGTGAACACACGCACACGGGCACGGGACCTCAGTGTGAACACACGCACACGGGCACGGGACGTCAGTGTGAAAACACGCACACGAGCACGGGAGCTTTGCTTTTCCCACTCTACTGAAGGACAGCCACACAGGGCAGGGGTCGGGTAGAAGCCCTGTGAGCCCGACCCCGGACTGCAGGCCGGCCCGACACCTGTGGATCCCTGCAGTTGTGTGGAAGCACAGAGGAGGGGCACCTTGGGGCACTGACGCAAGTGTGAACATGACAGAGAGCCATGTGATCACAGCACACGCTGGATCCTTCTCATGGGTTCTTGCCCTCCGCCTCTGCCCTTGATGGGAGATTTACTTAAGAGACTGTTTTGACAAACGCTCTCAAAAGAATGTATGTAATGTACATTATATACTCGTACATATATGCTGTGCCCAGGCCTTCTCGTGGCAGAGGGGGCTACTCTGTATACGGGTGCGGCCTTCTTGTGGCGATGGCCTCTGATGCTGTGGAGCATGGGCTCTAGGGCACACAGGCTTCCGCAGTCACTGCTCATAGGCTCGGGCGCCCGGCGGCACATGGATCCTCCTGGACCAGGGATCAAACCAGTGTCCCCTACACTGGCAGGGGAACTCTTAACCAGTGGGCCAGGAAAGTCCTCCATCCCTGCTTTAAATGGAAGTAACTACGGCATGCGGAAGTCAAAGCAACGCTTGCGGTCAGGCTCTTAGTGAAACAGTCAGCGAGACAAGAACACAGACCTCTGATGGCAAACCGCACGTCTGCCACCGCGTGGTGCTGCTGCAACCCGAGACCTGACTGACAACCAGGTTCGTGTGCCAGTATCTGTGGAGCCACTCAGAAACACACCACCTCCTCCATGAGTGTGCCGTGCTATGCATAAAAGAAAGAACTCCTAAAGTAAACGCAGCCTGACACCTGACAACGAGAGCAACAGGGAGTCCTTGGCCTCTGACATAGGCCAGGTGCTGACCGGCTCGTCCACTGACCTCTGAGAGCAGCTGAGGGGCGGGGCTCGCCCAAACAGGTCTCCCTGCTAGGTGACAGGGACATGGCGTAAATGGCTGGATTAAAATAGCTACTCACGGACTCCCTTGGCTGCCCACTGCTTATGAACCTGCCTGACAGTGTGGAAGACACAGCTTGGATCCCTGGGCCAGTAAGGCTCCACAGGCCGCGGGGCAGCTAAGCCCATGAGCCCAACTACTGAACCTGCATTCTAGTCTGGGAGCTGCAACTTCTGAAGCACGTGTGCTCCAGAGCCCACGCTCTGCAACAAGAAGCCACAGCAATGAAAAGCCCCCGGACAGCAACAAGGACCCACGGCAGCCAAAAATAAAACAAAAAAATAAATAGAATTAAAACCAACCAACCAACCAACCAAAAAACAGTGTTATATCTTATGGTGCAGGAATGGAAACAAAACTTTAAAAACGACAGAGAAGACTAACTTACCACCATTTAAGTAGACATTCGACATTATTTACTGGGGAGTCACACATTCTACTTGCGGTACACCAGGCCTTCCCGTGAGCCCTGCGCCGCTGGCACCAGCACGTGTGTGGAACCTCGCCTGGCCAGCACCCCACTGTCCCCCTCCCTCACACCCGGCCACCTGCATCAGCAAACTGCACCAGCGAAGCTGCTCACGCTGCTTAACTGAGGCCCTACTCGGGCTCACCAGGCAGGAGACACCGCCGTGGTCCTCTGGGGGCAAGTCACTAGCACACACTGTGCGCATGTGCAAATTGCTGGGCACACCTGTGCTCTGGTGCCCTTGGAAACCAGGGAGACGGTGCTTCCACGGGACAATGCCACCGTCCGAGTCTCAGCAAGGCAGCGTGATGGGCAACGGATGCTATGATTACAATGCATCCAAGAACCTGTTGTTTCAGAGGGTGTTTCAGGAATGGCTTTGTTCTACATGAAGACAAAAACTAACAAAGGAATTAATGTATTGCTTTAACAGGCTGCACCCAAGTCCAGTTTTAAAATTTATGAATCCTCGGCAGCATTGTTCTCAAACAATGGCATCTTGGGGGCGGCGGGGAGAGGGGACATCCTCTCAGTAGGTTTGGGGCAAACAGCCTGTCCTCCAGTTTCAGCATCATTTGCGCGTTGATCACACCACGCCTAGTATTTCTGGTCAGTGTCAATACGCTCTGCGTCCTGGCAGCTAACAGATGTCTACCCTTGTCGAGTGAATTACTTTATGTTTCACGCACTGGTGGCCGCAGATGTGTCACTATGGCAACATCATTAATTTCAGATCTTACCGGAAACGTGCACTCCAATCAAACCTAATTATAGCACACGGCTTTCTTGTCCAGGAGGAGGAAACTGTAATGCAATTATTGGAATACTTCATTTTCTGTTCTGCTGCGGCAAATGAGACACCCTGATGGACGCTTCTCGTCAGAAAGCTTATTGATGAAGCGCAAACCCAATTTACAGCCACACGAAGGCCCACCTCACAGCTCCGCCAGCCCCGTGAGGCTCCTGACAGCAGCTCGCCCCCGCCCCAGCTTCCGATGGGAGGGGCGCCCACACCCCGCTCATCCTGGGAGCCCTCACGGGGCCTCAAGGAAGGCCAGACCAGGGAACTCAAGGACACCACCGCACAGCTACATCAGGAGATGAAAGCTTCCAGTTTAGAAAACGAAATGAAAAATATTTTCTCTATTTTATACAATTATTCTGTGTTCTTTTTTCCCCCCTTAAATCTCAGGAACCAAGATCATTTATCTAAAACCTAAAGAAGTGATATTCTAGCCTTTTAAAAGTAGCAGGGTAAAATGTGGGAGAAATGAAGCTTTGTCTTTAAGACTCTGGGCAAAAACCACTTATCCTTACCCTGATTGTAACTCCAACTCAATAAAGAAAAATGGAGGAGCTACAAAATGATAACCCCATTAATGCTTAAAATGCAAAACAACAGTTAGCCTTTGGAAGACAAATAACGTCACAAAACCTTGACTTAACGACATCACACTGGCAGACACAGAGGCTTGAGCTGACCATGTGCTCTCAGGCATGCGCTTTGTACACTTTTGTGAAAGAGCAGGTCAGTGCCACCCAGGGCGATCATGTGTGATGGCCCCACGAGGACTTCTAGTCCTGACAGCACCTGCTCCCCCAGGAAGAACGACGTAAACTTGGCACTGGGGCAGGAGGCGACCGCAGAGGCCCTGAGAGGGGGCAGGAGCGGCGGCTGGGGGTGGGGGACCAGGCCTAAAGACGCACTGAGCCCCCAGCCCCTCCCGGGCCCGTCTGCCTGGAGGGACGCGCCCTGTGGGTGTCACTGCTGCATGGGCCCCCTGAGAGGACCTCCACGGCACCGCTATCCCGGCGGGGACACTCTCTCTTCACACGCACTGCTGGCTCTTGTGGCCAGAACTTCGCTATGAACACCCGGAATGTGCTGGAGAGGATGAGGACCCTTGGATGCTGCTGGCAGGAATGTAAAATGGTGCAGGGCTGCCATGTCACCTGGTGCAGATGCTTCCCCAGGGAACAGACACTTCTGAGGCACAAACGCTGGGCTGACTGGGCCAAGACCCGTCTAACAAGGCAGCCTGCCACGGGCCACTCCAGCCAACTGCGACCAGACTTGGCAAGTCCTGTCTGCGCAGGCACGTCAGACGTTTAATGGAGCAGGAATGACACCCTCCTGCATTAGGATGTCCTACTCAGAAGAACAGAGTGTCCATACATTTAATTAGGTCTTGGTAAGGAGAAGGGACTGGCGAACCACTTCAGTATTCTTGCCTTGAGAACCCCATGAACAGTATGAAAAGGCAAAATGGATAGGATACTGAAAGAGGAACTACCCAGGTCGGTAGGTGCCCAATATGATACTGGAGATCAGTGGAGAAATAACTCCAGAAAGAATGAAGGAATGGAGCCAAAGCAAAAACAATATACAGTTGTGGATGTGACTGGTGATAGAAGCAAGGTCTGATGCTGTAAAGAGAGGAGATCCAACCAGTCCATCCTAAAGGAGATCAGTCCTGGGTGTTCACTGGAAGGATTCATGCTGAAGCTGAAATTCCAGTACTTTGGCCACCTCATGCGAAGAGTTGACTCATTGGAAAAGACCCTGATGCTGGAAGGGATTGGGGGCAGAAGGAGAAGGGGATGACAGAGGATGAGATGGCTGGATGGCATCACCGACTCGATGGACATGAGTTTGAGTAAACTCTGGGAGTTGGTGATGGGAGGCCTGGCGTTCTGCGATTCATGGGGTCGCAAAGAGTTGGACACGACTGAGTGACCGAACTGAGCTGAAGGTCTTTCAAAGTTTAAACACACATATCCACATAGTTCTTACCCATTTTTTGTTAGAATTTGTTTTTTTAACTCTTTATACTTTTTGTTGCTATTCTAATTGGCATTTTTAGAATTAAGTGTCCTCATTGGTGGTGGTATAGAGAAATGCAGTTCAATGCTGATACCGAGTTTACATGTGTTAATTAATTAACTAAGCGGTCTCACCACTCTAGAAGCTCCGGGGGGCTCTTCGGGTTTCGAGGTACACAGTCATGAACTTGCCCTCTCTGGGAACAGCCTGCCTGTCGGCACTGGGACGCTCATCTACTGGGGGTGGCTTGTGGTTCCCGGCTGGGTTCACCGACAGCCATCCACTGGGGCAGTGCTCTGTGCCCAAACCTGCCGGCTGTGGACTGACCACCTCTCCAGGACTAGGCTGGTTCTGGAGACATCTCTGACATGTCTGTAACATCTCGTAGGGGTCTAGGTTTGCTGTCTGCCTGCTTCTTCATCCAAGTTCCAGCTGTTTTCCAGAAAGAGCTCAATCTCTGGATCAGCTATGGGCAGTTTGTGTGTTTTCCAGTGTTGTCCGAGGCTAACTCTCTGAAGTTTTCTCCCATCAGCGCAGTGAGGCTGGGAAGGCACTTCCTCCATCTACTTTCTTGACCCTGAGCTCCTCAGGTCCCTATTTCTGAGTTTTTTGATTCACTGAGCATCACCTTCCAGGTAGATTCCTCAGCGTCCCAGAGACAAGCCCTAATGAAAGCCAAACACAATCCGACAACTATTTCTGACTGAGCTGTAGGAAACCTGTAATCCCTTATGAAGGCTGGCTGCGACAGGACACCGAACCATCACCTTCGGGACACGGGGTGTCCTTCCACTGCCATCAGTCTCCCACGTCTCTCTGGCAGGTCTACTCACTGCCTTCACATGTGCCCGCATGTTCCTCAAGTTTGCACCCACATGTTTTATGTGGACCTCTGTGATTCTAAACGGAGTAATTCTTCAGTCTATTCCACACATAAGGGAGCGACTTTTATTCTTGTTGCTATTTTAATCTGTAACCTGCCACTTTACTGATTTCTTATTTTCAGCCATTGACTTCCTTGATTGATTGTTATATTTGTAAATATTTGCTTCTTCTTTTGCTTGTGGATCTTTCTAGTTCCTGGCTCACAGCAGTAGCTGGAGTAAATGTCAAAGCCTGGTACACATTAGTCTTTCTTCTTCCTGACTACAGTGAGGATTTTTCTAATATTTTATTAAAAATAAGGCTGAATTGTAATTGAGATGTATTTTCTTTGTTGCTGTTTCATTGCTAAATTGTGTCCAACTCTTTTGCAATCCCATGGACTGTAGCCCATCAGGCTCCTCTGTCCAAGGGGTTTTCCAGGTAAGAATACTGGAGTGGGTTGCCATTTCCTCCTCCAGGGGATCTTCTAGATCCAGGGATTGAACCTGTGTCTCCTGCATTGGCAGGAGGATTCTTTACCACTGCCAATGGTATGGTAAAATATAGGAAACCCATATTTTCTTTACCATTTATAAATTTTATTTCTAGTTGGCTGAGAATTACAAAGGAATTTACACCGTGAATTAGCCAATCAAGAAGGGATTTTAACCCTTAGATATGGCTCTTGTTATAGGTCTGGATTCAATTTGTCATTTATTTAGTATGTTATGGATTGACAAGAATTCTTTGATGAAAAAAATTTAAAAATGAAATAAAGACAAAGCAAATTTGGAGCAGGGAACCCTATGGAGGAGAACCACTTGTAGAGAGGCTCTTTGGAGAATGTTACTGTTAAAATATCAAATTTACAGATCTTATTAATTCTCATTTTCTTCTACCAGTTTGTAACTACCATTCTATAATAAACAAGCCCTTTTAGCGCTTAAGAAACTACCAGAAAGGTGTAACACAGGCAGTAAATAGAACAAAATCACAAGTGTAAGGATATGGAAGTTCAAAATAAAGAAATAAGTCCTTAAAAGTCTCTAAGAATTTCACATCTCGCTAATTCTGATGATCCTTTTATGTGAGAATAGGGAGATTGGCTCGAGGCCAGTTTCACGGACAGTCTGGGGAACTCTGTGAACTCAGCACTTTCACACATGTGCATACACACACCCATAAACACAAATGGGCACAGACAGGTCAGGGTCCCCCCACCCCCGCCCAGACACCTCCAAGTGCACGTGGGCAGAGTGGCACCTGTCTTGTCGGTCAGCAGGTACACCAGGCGCCCCAGCTCCTCCGGGATGGTGCTGGTCCGGACCACGGTGCCAGGAATGTTCTCATCTTTCATGATCATCCACCCGTAGGCAGCCTTGCCCATGTCCAGGTTCACACGCAAACTGCCAAAGAAAACCCACTGCAGTAGTTAGTGACTCAAACACCTCATGTCCATCATGCTTTCCATAAAAATTTATTTACAGAGACATGCATTCTCTATAATTTGAGGTGAAAGAAATAGATCACAGTGGATTTCAGACTTTAAGAGAAATGAACTTGTTGACACCTAAGTCGGCAGGCCCCTTCTCAGCCAGTTGCTCATCCTTCGCCCATCAGCCTGGTTTGCGATGCAGCTGGATGAACCTGGGAGAGGTGGACCGCAGTGTGGGTCCAGGCTCAAAGGGGCCAGCGACACGTGGGAGGAAATCACCCCGAATCACTGAGCATCAGTATCTGAGAGGGGTCTTGACATCCACCCCCGTGATTCACAAGAACGAAAGAGAAGCTCCCCCACGTGGAGGAGGCCATGAAGGGGAGCAGGCTTGGGAGGAGGCTGGGCGAAGGCCTCCGAGCACCAGCCCCTGAGCATCACGTTCATAAAAACAGAGCAGAGCCACTGCATGTGAAGGAAAAACACCTGCAACTAAGACGATAACACCATACAGGGAGGAAGCAGAGCTTATGTTTACTCTGATTCACACTGGACATCTTGATCAAATGTGAGTCCAATAATTTTCATTTTTAATGCCAAAAGTTTCTAGAAGCTCAAACTTCAAACACCAAGTCGACAGAATAATTATCATCACTTACTTCAACTTACTTTTTAGTTAGATATTTAACTTACTTTTTAGTTATATTCTAATTTTATGTAACTTTAAAACACAGGCCTCTGTTCATCTGGTATTGGATTGGCCAAAAAGTTTCTTCTGTTTTTTCCGTAAGATGACTCTAGTAGCACTTAGTTATCTTTAACTTCACTAACAAAATTTTGTTAATATTGTATTGTGACAGTTGTCATAGCATGCATAAAAAATAAATGAACATAATCGCTGAATTTTTGTGTAGCCATTTTAATATTGAAGATGGAAAAAAAGCAACATTTTTGGCATATTATGCTTTATTAGTTCAAGAAAAGAAAAAACACAACTGAAACACAAAAAAGCTTTGTGCAGTTTATGGAGAAACTGCTGTGATTGACCAAATATGTCAAAAGCGGTTTGTGAGGTTTCGTGCTAGAGATTTCTCACTGGACGATGCTCCATAGTTGGGTAGACCAGTTGAAGTTGACATCAATCAAATCTAGACATTAATTGAGAATAATCAATGTTATACCACATGGGACACAGCCAAGATACTCAAAATCAAGTTTTCAAACCAAGTGTTGAAAACCATGTGTACCAGCTTGGTTATGATATTTCATTTTGATATTTGGGTTCCACATATGTGAAGTGAAAAAAACCTTCTTGATTGTATTTCCATGTGTAATTCTTTACTGAAACGTTAATGAAATGTTCTGTTTTAAAACAAATTGTGTCAGGAAATGAAAAGTGGATACTGTACAATAATCTGGAATGGGGCAAGGGAAATGAACCACCACCAACCACACCAAAGGCCGGTCTTCATCCAAAGAAGGTGATGTTGTGTACATGGTGGGACTGGAAGGGAATCCTCTATTATGAACTCATTCTGGAAAACCAAAGGATTAATTCCAACAAGTACTGCTCTCAATCAGACCAACTGAAAGCAGTGCTCAACAACAAGCCTGGGGAATTAGTCAGCAGAAAACACATCAGCTTCCATCAGGATAACGCAAGACCTCAAGCTTGTTTGCTGACCTGGCAAAAACTGTGACAGCTTGGCTGGGAAGTTCCAATTCATTTGCTGTATTCACCAGACATTGCACCTGCAGATTTCCATTGATTTCAGTCTTTACAAAACTCTCCTAGCAGAAAAAATTTCCATTTCATGGAGGACTAAAAAATGCACCTGGAACAGTTCTTTGCTCAAAAAGACAAAATATTTTGTAATGATGGAATTATGAAGTTACTGCAAAATGGCAGAAGGCAGTGGAACAAAATGGAGAATATGTTGTTCAATAAATTCTTGGTGAAAATGTAAAACATGTCTTTTACTTAAAAACTGAAGGAACTTTTTGCCAACCCAATACTTTATAGTAACACTTTTTGTGAGCAAAAAATATATATTAAGCCTACTATTTTGAGTATTATAATAATCGATTATAAGGAAATAGATACCACATACATATTTAAGTTCATTATATTACTAATTTTAGCAGGTGTGAAATTTTCTAGAGACCTACTCCAAATAAGTGGGAAAGCGGCTGCCGTTCTAGATGGCCAGTTGAATCAGAGGCAGTTACTACCTTCACTGCTACATACTGTTATTTCTATTCAGTCACTAAGTCCTGTCTGACTCTTTGCAACACATCGACTGTAACCAGGCTCCTCTGTCCATGAGATTTCCCAGGCAAGGACACTGGAGTGGGCTGCCACACTCTCCTCCAGTTACACACATATGAAAAATGAAATAAACTATCTTCACGAGCTAGCGTGTTCAGGAGTGTCACCGAGAGGAACATCAACCTGCTTTACGCCACGCTGAGAAAACATGAGGTTACTTTTAGAACACAGAGGTCATCTCAGTGGTGGCACTTTCCCTGTGTTTCTTCCCCACAGCCACAGCAGTGTCTGAGGTGCACAGCGTGGGCCGTGGGCAACCCCACGCCCCCAACACAGCCTGCTGCACTTAAACTTAATTTGTTACAGTCAAACCTGCACATTTATCAGGACCAGGTGAGCCAGCTGCAGGGCACACCAGGCTCCTCAGGGAGTGAAGCTACCTAAGATAATTCACACATATTCCTCCAAAGAGAGGCTTATTTTTAGATCCTAATCTGAGCAAAAGAAAATAAAAGTCATTTAAATGACAGGCTTTATCTAAAGTAATCAAAACTTTTTCCCGTAAACAGTCATTTAAAGGAAAAAAGCTCAGATGTAATTTTATCTGATTTCTCCCTCCCCCAAATGTTTCATTTTATGATTCTTTAAAATTTTCACGACACACCACAGATGGCAAGCGATGGTTCAACAATGTTTCCACCAGGTGATTCACCCACGGCTCTCAAACTCACGGACCACCTGGACCAATGCACCTGCAGGTGGTGATGGAGTCAGGCTCACATTTCCTGAATGAGTCTGCAACCATGAATCATGAACTTGGATGAAGCTGTTTCAAGACAGGTAGTAACTACAAGTACACAGTTGAGAAGTAAGAGTATTTGTCTTGGAAAAATGTACTTTCATTTCTTATCTCAAATGATTCCTACAGTTAGCTTTTCAAATACAACTGCAAAGAAACAAACAAAATCCAAATAAACCAAAAACAACAAACACCACATAGCACACAAACATATTATACCATGAACAAGAGCCAGAGGGAAAAATACAAGAGAACAAAAGTGCAAAAGGCATGAGATATATACATGTGACAGGCATGGACTATAAACACTTGGATACATAGGGAAAATTAGAAAAATATTTGTGTGAAATAGGCAAAAATAAAAATGAAATAGTCAATTCCATAAATAAATGAAATTTTAGAACTAAAATAATACCAATAACTGAAATTGAGAAATTAGTTTAATATCTTATTAAACTATTAAAATCTTATCAACACTATTTAATATCTTATTGAACTAATAAATCTTATAGTCAAAGATGAAATCAGTGACTTGGAAGACAGGTCATTAGGAATATTATTTATTAACAGAATAAAGCAAGAAACAAAAAGGTGGAAAGTACAAAAGTAAAACAGGAGCAACAAAGGGTATGGGTGGGTCTCTGCCCAATCAGCATAGGGCAAAGGCAGTATTTAGAGACAAACAGAGAATGTTCCTGGATGAGTAGAAGAAACCTATCTACAGATTCAGGAATAAACATCTATCCAGACGCACTGTGTCAGACAGCAGGACAGCACCAACAAAGAGCATGCCTGAAAGATGCTGGGAAGGTCCCAGAGGAGTAGGACCGAAACAAAAAGCGGTGAACAGCAGCCAGAAGAGAGCAAGAGAAATGTTGACAACTTAGAAATCTATACACAGATGAAACTATCTCTCAAGAGGAGAAATCTGGAGTTCCCAACAAAGACCCTCACTAAGCAAAAACTAAAGAATAAATTTCTGACAGAAGGGAAATTATTCTACATGGAAGTTCTGAAATGCAAGAAGAAAGCATTGATAAATCAGAATTAAGAGGGAATGTGTAAAACAGTAATATCCTGCAGTTTAAGAATAACTACAATTAGGATAAATTACAAAAATGGATTAGGTCAGAAGGGGCAAGTGGAGTAAAACATTTGTAAGATGACATGCAAAAGAAACTAATACCTTTAGACTCTGGGAAATTAAGAATGTTTTTAATTTCAAGGATACATACTAAAAAGAACAGAAACTCTTATAAAACCTACAAACTACTAGAGAAAAGGTGGAACTGAAAAAAATAACAAAGTGGTAAGAAAAGAGAAAAAATACAGAACAGTTACATCACATTAAAAGCACAATATAAAATAATAGATTTAAACTAAAAACACAACAGTATTACAGTAATTGTGTATGCACTAAATAGTCAAAAACTATGAGTAGGTTAAAATTAAACTTTATTCTATTTATAAGAGACACACATAAATATAATTACACAGAAGAGTTGAAAGTACAAAGAAGGAAAAGACATGCCAAGCAAATTAAAGCCAGCTGGCATCACTATATTAACATAAAGCAAAGTAGAATTTAATGCAAAAAGCCTTAGCAGAGATAAAGAAAGTCACTTTATAATGAGAAAATGCATAATTCAGCAGAAACATGTAATGATTTAAACTTGGATACCATCAATAGTAAAGTCACAAAATATATAATACCAAAACTAGAATTCAAAGGAAATCACAATACTGATGGGTGATTTTGTTACCTTCAGTAACAGAAAAGGTTGAGAAAACAAGCAAAGGGTACAGAGAAACTTATGAACAAGATGAACAATCCTGACCTCACAGACTGTGAAGCACTGAGATCAACAATTTAGACTTCATGTTCTTTTCAAGTACACAGTGA